CAGGGGGGCAATGCTAGAATTGACTGATGCATAAGCATTAAAGCATAAGCATTAAAAGCACACTTCAAACATGCATACTGTAGATAGCTTCAACAAAGTTGTAAAAAATCGATGCATTATATAGACGTAAAGAAAACCCAAATACTCGAAGCAAAATTGCAAAACTCAAGCAAAATTGCAAAACTTGAGCAAAACTTCTTGGATTATTTTTAGCAGGGTTCCAGGTGGGTTCCAGGGTGTTCCAGGTTATATAAACACCTGTATTCAAACATGTAAAAGCTATTTGCCTTACCAAAGCTTTTATAACATGAAAACTAATCAATAAAAATTCTTGTGTATAAGTTTGACTTGGGCAAGCAAAAAAACTGTGTAAATTTAATTTCAATCCGTTTTATCCGAGGTATAGCAAAAATATTTAATTATTTACAGGCGAAACTTAACTTGTTTTTATTTACCGACAACAAAGGAAGCAGAAAATAAACAACAGCAGTGACAAAAATTTTTTCTTGGCGCTACTACAGAGTACCAGAGCAGGGGTAGAAAACAACCGATTTAGGTTGCTTTTACTTTGCGCTAAAACATCTTCAAGTCTCTTTCATTAAAAAACATTGTATTTGGGAGCCATACTGATTAAAATTATGCATATGAACATTGACCTAAATTCGTCGATTTCAACAAGCGAAAAAATGCACACTAAACACTCGATCGTTGTGAAAATACCGGATATATATGGAGCACCAACACGCACATATTTGTTGGTCAAAATGGGTCGGCACTAGATCATAGACAAGATACGTACATATCTGAAACTGCAATACATACGAGTCAGCGGTATTTCAAGTGCTGTAAACTTTATATAAACGCAATAAAACATCATTACAAATGATCCATTACAAATAAACAAACTACAAATGGAGATTTAAAAATGGTATATAGATAAATAGGTATGTGGAAAGCGAAATATATATTTACTTTTATTACCTATTTGGGGTTAATTTAAAAATCATTTTAACTCATAAACATTAATATATATACCGTAGTCAACGTGTTTTTATTTTCCAAGGGAAAAATATAGCCCACATGTGGCATAGTATTTAATAATATTGGTGACATATATTCATAGGAAAACACATGGTGGTCAACTTTGCACGTTTGTCGATTTATATGCCTTGTGGAAGCGAGCAAATTTTGTTAAACGTTCTGTATTTGTTATTGAATACAAGGTGAATTAATATAATGAATAATGAACTCAACCCAATAACTGCGTTTCCTAGTTTTGGAGTTGAGCACCAAGTGCTAAAGTGCCACATGATTCAGATTGAAACCCAACTATGGTCGCATCACTGTTTAGTATGTTAGTCACTCTTTTAATCTGCCTTGTGCAATTGGCCATTACTCATTAGCATTTGAATCTTGCAGTCCGGCTTGGCTAATTGACTATTAGAGCAACATAAATAATAAATATTTACTAATAATTAGTAATAATTATTAGTTAGAAATATTAATAATATTTTATTGCTTTAGGGAATACTATACAGTAACCTAGCCAGAGCCGGGGGACCCCCCTCAGACCCTCAGAAAATGTTGCCCCCCCCCGATACATCTAACTTTTGTATGCCTTGGTTCAGCTGTCCCTCCCCCTGGGTCCACAAATTTAAAATTTCAAAGCTGAGTGCATATTTTTGGAAATACAACATTTGAATTTTTCTTATATTTTCCCTAGAAATTATGTACAATAACACAGTAAATTTTTAGTAAAATGTTCAAGGAAAAGAATCTTCAAACAGCAGCAGATGACACAGCAAATCTTTAGTAAAATGTTCAAGGAACAGCGGTAGATAACACAATAAATCTTTACTCTTTCTAACGCTAGATGATTTTGCTCATCAAGGGGAGCCTTTCAACTTAATAGGTTAATGAATCAGTTGGTTATTACAACCGATTTCAACTGAATTCATATTTAACATTCACTTTATCCCATTTACTGGCAGTACTTTACCACTGACGAGTAATTAATCGTCTGGCATTAGACAGAGTAAATACTAAGTAGGCACATTTGGGCACATTCGGATTATCAGTTAATGAGTTAATATGAACAACAATAAAAACAGACTAGGGTGTCAAAGGCTAGGTGGATGCTTCTTTGCCTGCAACAAAGCATAAAGTGGGACTGCCACATGATCAATGTTAGATTTCAGCAATGAAGGGAATCAATATTTTAATAAAATAATTGTCATTAATAAAATAATTGTTAAAATAATCAATATTTAATAATAAAATAATTTTTGTCAATTAATAAAATAATTGTTACAAATTGTTGGGTTAATAATTATTGGGTTTGTTGCCTCCAAGGAATGCATCCACCTAACCTTTGACATCTTAGTCAACTGTTTTTAACATGTTGTTCATATTATTAAGTGTATGAAAATATGAAAAGTTGAAATATGTTGTGCTATAGCAGACTATGCAGTGATTATGCATATATAGTACATGAAATGGACATTAGATGACTCGAGTTACTGGCAGTCGTAGTGGCAGATAATTGACTGAAAGCCTTTTCCCATTATTGTGTATTTCTAGCATTTAGTATTAGCACTTGTTTCTGACTTTCTGTTTAATAAGTGTTTTATTGATGTATCTTGAAAAGCCATGCAGTGATGTATATATTAATTAAATAATATGAAATTGTATGAAATGTATGTTATGAATGATTAGGGAACACCGGTCATTAATAATGGGAGGCAGGGAGAGGGACCAGTGGCATAATGGAGGAAGAAGGCCCCCCTTGGTGTGGAGGCCCCTGTTGACTGTTATTGTTTGACTGCGATCTTATATTTATATTGAATATTTATCAGTAAAATGGAAAATTCTGTGTCTATAACAATGATAATAACAGTCTCCAGCACATGTAACAATTAACTTTTAAGAATAACTTTTGTTCTATTTGAGATGGAATACCGTCGTCGATGGAGGGTTTACTATTTAGCATTATTCATCGATTCGTAACCTGCATTTTTTGCAGGAAAGGGGGGCTTCAACTATTTTTCCTGAATTGGGGGTGGCCTCAAAATATGTGACGACCCCAAATTTTGAATACTTTCCTACCCATTTTCAATCTCTTGCCTTTACCATATTGCAAAATAGTTCACCTTTTTTAGTTCCTATAATCGTAATTTCCATAGTATATTACGTATATGCAGTTTATGATAGGAGTCAGAGTAAATAACAACCATTTTGAATACTGGTCCTCTTATTATTTAGGCTACACAATGTCTTACACCAGTACTTGTATCATTACCTATTTTACACCAACTAAGTAACAAATTAAATGTTGGAGGGGGGTGTCCTAAATTTCTAAATGAAGGTGGGGGCATCTTGAAAATAAAGGTCTTGCGATTGGGGCGGCTCTAAAAAGTGTTCAATATTTGGTATCTATCACCCACCGCCCCCCCCCTCCCAATTTTAATGAGTGGTCCCCTATGAAAGGTTTTTATCCAGTAAGATTTACTATACAATTCTAAAGCACATATGCATCTTTCGACCTTTATAAAGACACACTATATTATTATATGAGTGTAGTACTGCAGTAAATCGATAAAGGTTTTATGTATGCATAATTTGGATCTTTCATATTAAAATATTGCACACACGGTATTTAATTTGTATGAATATTTATAAGACAAATTTACATATTGAAATTAGTTCACTTACCAAAAAGTGCATTTGATTTGATACATCTCCAACCACTACTTGTTTTTATTTTGTACTCTTCAAATTTCTCAAGCATTTCTGCTTGTGAAGCGCAAACAAGCACTCGGTCACTCTTCGATGGAAGCCATATTGCTTTGGTTTCGCGCGTTTTTTCGAATTTCGCGCACTAATTTATTTGAATTTTAAAGATGGAATGCCGCTGATTCGTATGTATTGCAGTTTCAGATATGTACGTATCTTGTCTATGATCTAGTGCCGACCGTCAAAATGGTGATCAGTCGAATGCATGTTTACTAAGCGTACTCACATTGAAATGTTGAAAAGAACCTTCATTTGAGAACGTATTTTTATCGTTCCCTCGATAATTTTGTCGTTCACTTTTGCTTCGATTTCCCTGTACTTCACCAAAATCAGCACTATAAAGACGTTTCTTGTTTCAAAATTTATATCAACTACGAAAAAAGTGTTGAAAAGAAGCAATATTTCTCACATACAAAATGCTTTGTAAATTTGTCTATTGACCATTGAGTTGCCTGTCAACTTCCGTTCAGCGACTTCCGTTGGACTTGTTTGCCCAACAAACTCTCAACAAGAATAAGCCACCCCTAAAACGTGACTCATATGATATAAAATATCTAGAATAAGTAGAATTATTTATTAGTGTATAAATTGAGAAAGAAGAAAACAAAACAGACAAGTCAAAACAAGTCAAAAGCTAAGAATAAAGATATTAAAAACTTAATGCTATATCCAGCGTCATGAATTAGCTACATTATGCTTCATCTTCCTTTTAAAGGAACATATGGTTTCTGTTTGCTTAAGTTCTTGTGGAAGATCATTCCACAAGACTGGCACCACTGTATCCAAAGGATATCTTTAGAAATTCAGTTTTAGGTTTTGGAAGGGCTAAATCTGTTTCGCTATTTCGAAGATTATATGTATTCCGACCTACATTTTTTTCGGAGCAAATCTTTTAGATTTGGGGCAGTGTTGTCATTCAGTTTTTATACATTATAATATTGATTTATTTCGCGATCTTCTTACTTTAAGTGTTTCTCAACCAAGGGTGTCCAACATATCAGCGGATCTAACATCGTAACTGGCTCTGGTAATAATCCTTGCAGCATGCACGATTTTGGAATTTTTGCAGTTTATCTTGGAGTAATTTGCCGCAATTGTCCCAAAAAGGGGAACAATAATCAAAATAAGGCTGTACTAATGTTTTATAAATAGTTTGTAGAGTTGCAGATGGGACATAGTTTTTTATGCGCCTCATCGCCCCAATTCCTGAACTCACCTTACAACATATTTTCTCAATGTATTTCTCCCAGTTCAATTTTTCATCCAAGTCTATCCCCAAGGGTGTAAACGTATTAGTTCGAGGAACCGGGGCATTATTTAATAGAACATGATTGTCCTTGACTTTATTATTTAAATTATGTGATGATCCAATAAACATAACCTTTGATTTTGTGGGATGATGTTTAAGCTTATTTTTAGATAGCCACTTCCGAATGTTGTTTAAGTCTATATCTAAATTTTCAATCAAAGTGTCAAAGTTGTATGATGTATTGACATCTCTTTAATATAGGGCGGAGGTCAAGTAAATTGTAGTAACCATGGCACCTGTGATTGTGGCAAATGTAACTGTGAATCATTTTATGAAGGAGCGCGTTGCGAACGATATGTTTTTTTATAAATTTCCCCATGTACAATAAATTTATGTATGGTATATTTGCAATAATGTCAAAGATTTTTGGCTAGAGACCTACTAGAAATCTTATTTAGGCCTCTAGTTATGCTAGTTTGTATTATATTATGTAATAATTGGCTTCTTATAAGAATTAGACTACAATATACTAGTTGAATACATAAAGCAGAATGTTTTATAGCATGTCTTATACATTGGCAACTCTGTATAGCAAATAATGTAGTTTAATTTGCTTTTTGAAAGTGTTGTAGAAGTTTATATCTATAAGTTTTGTTTCTAACGAATTCCACACGTCAACTCCTTTATTTGATAGAGTGTGTTCTACATAATTTGTTCTTTTATAACACTTGTGAAGTTTTGATGAAT